ATGATTTCAATCCAAGATAACAGCTTATGATAGAATGATTGTTCATATAAGTTGCTTTTATCAGTACATTAGGGTATGAGGTAGATTATGGGATGGTGAAGTTATTATGTTGTTAGCTAATCAAAATTTATTTATAAACATGCTGGATATCTAACATTTTAAGTTGTTATAGAAATGTACCTGGAGCATGTAGTTTACTGATCAACACAATGCAACATGACCTTCAAAATACAAAGGATGAAGTGATCTGTGAAACACTATCAACATTAGCTGTTATTTCAGATGCACAAATAGCAGAAGTGGTTGGACAAATTGTAATGAAATTAGCATTTAATAATAGTGAAGTAATAGTTAGAAAGAAAGCGCTATTAGTTTTAAAGCAGATGATCAAATTCTTTCCTAGTTTAATTAATCTTGAACCACAATTTATTAAAAAAGTTGAATTGACAATTCAAAGAGAAAATGATTTAGGGGTTATTCAATCATTATGTAAATTATTATACGAAGTAATTCTTAAAGACAAAAATAGTGGAGTTGATTTAAAGAAATATCAATGTTTATCATTTAGTTTAGTTCAAATTTTCAAAAGATTATTAACAGAACCTACTTCTGAAGTAATGTATCATGGGATCTGTATGCCATGGTTGGTTATTGATTTAATTAAATTAATTCCTTTAATTTGTATAGAAAAAAGAGAAATAGTTTCATTCCAATCATTATGTGAAGAGTTTTTACAAATTGGGTTTAGTGATTCTCTTTTTGAAATACCATCAAGCCAAAGAGATATTATATTTTCTATTGAAATAGAAATAATAAAATATTCATTTGAATTTGAAGTAAAAAGATTATCAAACATATCAATTTCATTATTAGGAAAATTACTTGCGGTGAATGACATTAACATTAATTACCTAACTCTTGATTTATTAAATATTGCAAGTCAAAATGGATTTAAAGAATCTACTAAGAAATTATTTGCAAAAGTAATAATATTAGGTAATAGTTTTGATATTGAATTAAAGAAAAGGGTAATTGATACATTATTTAGTATGTGTGATAATTCAAATGTTATAAATATTTGTCAAGTATATAATCAAATGATTAATAATGAAGATTTGATAGGAATAAAAGAAGATTTAATATTTAAATTATGTATTTTAACAGAGAAATATTTAAAAGGAAAAGAATATGTTGATATTATGATGAGTATTGCTTTTAATGGAGGTAATTATATATCATTTGAATTATGGAATAGAACCTTAAGAAAACTTTATGATGACCAAGAAGCTACTAAATATTGTATTTTGTTAATAGAAAAAATTATTAAAAAGAATTTTGGAAGTGATGACTTTATCGAACTTTGTTGTTTAATACTTGGAGAATATGGAGAATATTGTGAAGATATTTTATCATTAATACAAACCCTTATTTCAAAATTTAGATTTATTAAAGATTCTACAAAAATTAGAATAATCACTGCTTTAATGAAACTATTAAAGAAATTTAATTCTATAAAAGACCTTCTTATGAATATTTGTATAGAGTATCAATACTCAAGTAATTGTGAGTTACAACAAAGAATTAAGGAATGTTTATATCTCATTGAACATCCTTCTATGATTCCTGTTGTTATTGATTCTTCGATTTATAAAGACACAACTATAGAAGAAAAAACAATTATTAATGAAGTAGAAGGAACACCGTCTCTTAAATTAACATCAACGACTAAAATTGTTAATAAGTCTAATGTTATGAAGAAACAATTTAAATTCCACTTCTCTCACTCTTTAAATCCAAGTGGATTATGTGAAAAAGTTGAAATAATTTATAAAAAAACAATGAGCCTTAATGAAGGTATTATTTTTCAAGATCAAAATATTCAAATTGGTTATAGAAGTAAAGTTATTGATAATGTTGTTGGTGTTCAATTATTCTATGGTAATATATCATCACTTCCTATTACTGTAAATGTTCGTGTTATTGTTCCACATGGTTTAACTTCTTCTCTTCAACAAGATAAATTAACAATTGAATCTCATCAACAAATGAATCACATTATTCAATTTAAATTAAATACCTCATTCCTTGAACCTCCAAGACTTCAAATTGACTATCATTTTAACTCAACCTCAATCAACGTTTCATTACCTTTACCAATTACTCTCCTTAAATTTTTTAAACAACCAACTCCAATGATATCCTCTTCATTACCAGAACAAACAACAATACCTTATCTATTAAATATTAATCAATTTCAATCATTATTTTCGCGTTATAATTTAATCTTTCAATCAAATGATCAGGTAGTAGAAACACATTGCATTATTCCTACATTAGGGGAAATTAAAATTCAATTTAAATTTAATTTAAAAGAATTATCTGTATCATCATCAAATGAACAACTGAACTTAGATGTTATTGCACTGATTTTATATTCATTACAATAATTTATTTATTCAATTTCTGACAATAACCATTACCAAGTTATTCAATTAATAATCTCTTTTGAGGTTCTTTTTTATTTAAAAAGATTTCATCAACATTAAAAGAATATTTATTTTTATATTTTGAGATAAATTCTATTTGTTCATTCTTTGATTTACAATTTTTCAATTCAGGAGATGAACATAATAAATCAAACATTATTTGTCTATATATTGGAGGGACACAATCCAAATTGAATATTGTACTTGGTGGATCATTATAGTCAATACCTTCTTTTATTCCATTTATAATAACAAAATTTGATGGTTTACAAGTAAATTGATCAATTTGTTTTTTTAATACACGATAATCAATAGCTTTTAATTTACGTAATTCATACCATTCATAAAGAAGAGTGTTTAAAAGTGTTGGTGTTAGACAATACTTTATTTCATTTTCTATTATCTGACCTGTCAAACTTTGATTTTTGAATAAGATTAATTCAAGTACTTTATTAAAAATGATGTTAATTGGAATAATCGGATATACAGCATCTTCTATATAAATTACATTTATCATATCACCTCCAGGAATTGTTTTTAGGTTTGTTAGTATTTGTTGATCAGAAAATATAAATTTATAATACTGGTGTACTGCAAAATAAATTTTTTTTGGTGGATATGTTGTTATAGAAATACCACGAACTATTTCTATAATCCAATTAATCATCTCTGAATTGGAAATACCATTTTCATTAATTAATGGCCTTAATAATGTTCCATCTTCCCTTATTGCATAAAGGTGTCGTTGAATAACATATTCTCTCTGAACAAAGGAGACATGATCAATGTTATCATTTTTAACAATTATTCTTGATTGTTGAAGTGCATCTGATAAATATCAAAAG